TAAGTTCGATATTGAGCATTTTCTGCTCAGGGTAAGCAGAGCGATAAGCAATTTGATTGGCCGAGACTTTGGAACACAATAACTCTCCTTCTAATTGAGCTAGTATGGTCAAACTTGGTGTAGGTGTTTATGAGGTCAATGCCTTGATAGAGTGCGAAGATGAGCATTTTCTGCTTATGGCAAGTAGAAGTAAGCAATTTGATTGGTTGATTCTTTGGGACACGATAACTTTAGTTCTAATTAAGTGAGAGTGATGAAACTTGGTGTATAGTTGCATTCAAATTGACGGGAAATGAGTTCACGTTGATTTAAATGATGATTTTCTTAGAGCTTGGTAAATACAATACTTTTTAATTCGGCTGCACATCTCTAAATATGTGTATAAGATTCCCATTGTCACACTTTTTGGGACACAATAACTATCCTTCTAATTGAGCTAGAATGTTCAAACTTGGTGTAGGTGTTTATTAGGTCAATGCCTTGAGGGATTTCGAAGATGAACATTTTCTGCTTAGGGTAAGCAGAGATAAGCAATTTGATTGATTGATGCTTTGGGACACGATAACTTGACGTTAGGAGCACTTCTTATGTGTTAAATGAGAGAATCAAATGTCTAATAGACTCTTTGATTAAACAGTGGAAAGATAGGTTGCCAGGCAACGAAACATACGCCCACAGTGGCTAAATCGTCCGAGCGGTCGACAAGGGTTGTCGCATATTTATTCCTTTGTAGGTAATTGGGGGCCTTTACAAGACAGTTCCATACAGGGTCTCAACTCTGGAAGTAATCTACAGAAATTGTTGAAATTTGACAGGCTTTTTCGTTTCACAAATTTAAATGATGCATATAAATTTCATACATATCTGATGATAACTTTCATCAATCTAGCAAGTCAAACAAGGGCAATAACTCTACAAGTAATAAACGGAAATTGCTGAAATTCAATAGGATTTTTCTTTTTACTAATTTAAATGACGCACGTAAATTTCATACATATCAGCATATAACTTTTGATGTTAGAGCATTCACAAAGTTCAATAAAGTGAAACAAGGGCCATAACTCTAGACGTAATAAACAGAAATTGCTGAAATTCAATAAGCTTCTTCGTTTCACTTATTAAATAATGCATATAAATTTCAGAAAGACCGGATGATAACTTTTGGTGTAAGAGCGTTCACAAGGTTCAATAAAGTGAAATAAGGGCCATAACTCTAGACATAATACACATAAATTGTTGAAGTAAAAAACGAAAATTGCTGAAATTCAATAGGCTTCTTCGTTTCCCTAATTTAAATATTGCATATAAATTTCACATAGATCGGATGATAACTTTTGGCATTAGAGCGTTCACAAGGTTCAACAAAGTGAAACAGGGGACATAACTCTAGACGTTATAAACGGAAATTATTGAAATTATATAGGCTTCTTCATCTCGCTAATGTAAACAACATACATATATCAATTTTAAAACAATTGGAGTGTTCACAAGAAATTGTGGACGATGGACGGAACGACCGACGGACAAACCGACAGACGGACGTACAGGGGCGACGGCAATATACATCCACATATCCATGTGGGCGTATAAAAATGGATTTTCCCTCAATTACGTCACATGATCAACAAGGTTGGCATGTGGTAGTTTTCTTCAGATTAAAATGTTTTGAGAGGGATTTGAAGCAAACTTTTGATAGATTATTTAGTTTAAATAGGTTTTTAGTCCAAATATATCATCAAATCACAAAGTCTGTATTTGGGAAGGCATCTTTAACTACTTGGACATTTATCTTTTTATAAAAGCAGTGAGGATTCACATTGCTTGTCACCCTTTTTTAACTGTTACCTGAGCAGAAAAGTATCTAACAAAGCCAATTAGAATCATAGTTATGTCCCACTATGTTTTTGTGGACAGAAATCATTTGGTTCAAATTTGACATTAAAAGTGGTTTCTTGTTAGCTTTTTCGTTCATTACCTATTTCGTCATTCAATATATTAAATTATAATGGTACTTTTCAAGAGATATGAAAATGTACATAAAATAACACGGTAAATCAGACATGTTTAGATATATTTTATTCTTAGTCTTCATCAGAAGATTCAGGATCAAAGTTCATATTATGAGCGGTATAAATATCTTCTTGGTTGCTGACCAACAGCTCACATATATCCTTTGGATATGCTTCAGATACCAATTCATATTGCAAATCTTCATTCCAGCTATGCAGCAAAAGACCACTACGGGAAGGTCGTAATAAAGGTCTGTTATTTTTTCACCCAGAAAATCTTTCTTCTAGCGTCATCTACCTTCCGCAATATTTTCTACCTTTGCCCATTTCATTATCAATCAAAATGTGTATCGTTTGTGAGGAGAATGATTGGGATGTCTATTTCGCCAGAGCAAGAACGCAAATACAATTTGTTTGAGCACCTTCACTAATTTGCAATGGGAAGAGGAGTAAGATAGCTATTTTGGTGTCCTCGTGATTTGTTGTCAGTTCTAGGATATTCTCGACACTTTCAATACCAATCTTGATATATTTTTTGATCCAATCAAGATAAGTATTGTAAGTATCAAAAATATCTCGGCCTACATGCTTTTAGTGGTAATGACTATCTGTCTTTCTTTTTCCAACTTTCTAACAATTTTTAAAGAGCTGGGACAGACAAATGATGTTTCTGATGACTTAATTACTGGTTTAGAAAAAATTGTTTGTACCATGTATGGCGAAAAGCGACATACATCAGTAGAAGACACTAGAAGAAAGATTTTCTGGGGGAATTTTAATTGTGATAAAAAATAAGAAACTTTTCTTTCCTTATTACCATCTTGACTGATTAGTCTTTTGCTGCACATTAAACGCAACAATTATGTTGCAACAATATGGAGACAGACTGCAAAACCAGTGATCGAACAAGATGACCCTATGATACAAGGCTGGAATGAAGATTTACAATGTGAATGGGTATCTGAAGCATATCCAAAGGATAATAATAATAATAATAATGTACATTTGTAATTGCGCTCACTCCATCCATATTGCATGCTCTAAGCGTGTGGAAGATAATAGCTAATCCTGATAATACGTAACAAACAAATGAGTTTTGAGTTTGGATTTGAACACAGCTAAGCTAATGTTTGAGAACTCTGTATGACCAATGGTAAGTTATTCCACAAACGCGGTCCACAGACACTGAAGGCTTTATCCCCATAGGATTTCAGTTTAGGTTGCCGCACAACCAATAAGGGCTTATTTTGTGAGCGAAGTGGTCGATTTGGTTGATATGACTGAATGAGGTCCGTGAGGTAAGATGGGGAAAGATCATGTTGATACATATAAATCAATGTTAGAATCTTGAAAGTTATCCATGCTTCTATGGGTAAACAATGTAGTGATTTTAAGATGGGAGTCATGTGAGAATACTTTTGTGTTCTTCTTGTTATTCTGGCAGCGGTGTTTTGAATTTCTTGGAGTTTTGCACATATTTAGAGATGTGCAGCCGAATTAAAAAGTATTGTATTTACCAAGCTCTAAGAAAATCATCATTTAAATCAACGTGAACTCATTTCCAGGCAATTTGAATGAAACTATACACCAAGTTTCATCACTCTCACTTAATTAGAACTAAAATCTCAGAGAATTGTCGAGTCCGACTATTGAATGTCAGTCAGAGTCAGTGTTCATAATCGGCTGTATTTTGACGGCTTTAGCTGATTGGTAAAACAATGAATCGACCACTATGGTATCATAAATAATCAATCTACTTTCGGCTAAATTACAACAGGTTAATTATTACTTGTCAATTAAGAAGTCAATCAACTTGCTTGTCAGCTATAACAACAGTCATACCTTAGTGAGAATTGGCCATATGTGGTTCATAATCAGAGTAATTATCACATTTAACAGTGATTTTGATAATTCGGTAAAAATACAAAACAAGTTTGCTGATCATTCAATAGGTTCACTAATATAATCCATGTAGCGAATGAAGACGATCTCGGCACGGTTTGCGAATCGTGCGTCCTCCATGCTCCATCTGTGTGAATTCCAGGTACCGGTAGATATTAAAATAACAACTGGATCGTACATTGATGGATTCACTGACCAGTTGTTAGGTAAATTTAAATCTTCATTGAATATAATCCCCCGATAGAACATCAAATACACAGAACATCAAATACACGGAGAGAGAAACAGTGGGTATTTTCCCTGACAGAATCTCCAATGCCCAATTCCAATGACACGTAGCTTTACCATTATGATTTTTTATTTTATACGCATGCTGACAGAGGCTTAATTTTAAAAAATATTTTTGAAGGCTATATCATAGTCGTATAGAATTTCATTTTATAGCAATTTCAGTTATGGTTGTCACATGGTCATTGTGCCGTTTGTCTATCATCGACGAATGAATAAAAACTGATGGACAAAAGACTACAAATTGTGTTATGAAGAAATGCTGTGGTGCCGTATCAGCTTATTTTGGCTACGGCATTTTCTCATACTGGCAATAAACACAATTCTGTTTTTTAGACAGTATTTTAATTAAGATTCGGAGGATTTGTGCAGATTGCATATATAAGAACCCTCATCGATTCTCGCAAAAAAAGATGAATTTCTAGACCTGCATCTATACCAAGTTTAGGCAATGTCTCAGGGGAGACACGTTGGCTAAGTGAGTAAGACGCTGGCTCCCTAGCCTGGAGGTCACCGGTTTGCTCCCGGTGTTGGCTGAGAAAGCTCATCAGGATTTTCTAGAGTGATTTCCCCTTGTCAGTGGTGCAGGACGGCGAACATGAGGTCCTGTGTACACATTGGCGTGCATGTAAAATATCCCTTGGCAGTTGGAATTCGATATAAGAGTAGGCTGTAGCACTGCTGTTCGGGCAAAATTTCCCTCATAGCATTGGCCCATCTTCATTAGCCAAGTAGGAGCAGAACAGTAGGACGTTTAACCCCATTTCATTTTTGCTATGTCTCAGCAAAATTTCTACTTACCGGTGAATTTCCTAATTCTTTTTCAAAATCTTCATCAATTAATCCATCTGGAGTTATTGCACCACTTCTAAAAGCTCCACCTTCCGTTTCTTTGGCTAATTCTGTAATTAAGATTAAATGCACCAAATAAGCATTATCTGTTAGAGTGACAAATAACAAATAAAGTGGAACTACAGGTAAATCCGAAACACATATTTAACAATATGAAATTATGAAATTATAAATATTAATATCGTTCTAAAGAAGATGACAAAAGATCAGGGCCCTGTTTCACAAAAACTTAAACTAAAATCACTAAAATCAAACTGAAATTTTAAAATTTATGCGTTTCACGAAGATCGATTGTAACTTAAAATGCAATTTTAATAGATTTTAGTTAAAATTGCTTGCGCTCGCTCAGAGCACAATTCCGGCGAGGGCACTTAGGGTGTAAACATACACGCTTCGAAACTGAAAACTGTTGCCAGGTTGAACTAAACGTTACAATACCAATGAGGAGAGTTTCATACGTTGTAACAATACCTGCACATGGTCAGACAGTCGTAGAGAGATGAAATAAATAAGTTTATTGCGTGTTATTTGTTTTGAAATGTATCAGTGGGTTGGCCTTGAACTTGCATATCGCTTTCGTGACCTTGGCATTGGATTTACTCGCAGGCTTCAATGGAAATAATGCATATCGATAAACTAAATGGCCTGAATTTCGTAGTTTTGTTGTATTTTGGATAGGAGCCACGGTGGCTAGGTGGTTAAGATACTGGCTCACTAGCCTGGAGGTCGGGTGTTCGATCTCTGCATTGGCCGAGAAAGTTCATCCTGATTTTCCGGCGTGGTTTCCCCTTGTCAGTGGTGCAGAACGTAGGGCCCGACAAGGACAGCTGTCTAGTCCTTCGGATGATATGAAAAACCGAGGTCCCGTGTATACATTAGAATGCACGTAAAAGATCCCTTGGCAGATGGAATTCGATATAAGAGTAGGCGATAGTACCGCTGCCCGGGCAAAATTTCCCTCATCGCACACTGCATGGCGTATGCCTGTCTTCATTAGCCCAGTATAGGAGCAGAACAGGACGTTAAACCCCATTTCATTTCATTTCATTTGTATTTTGGATAACAGAAACTATTGAGAAATTGTCACAAACATGTAATATTTCTGACTCAAACGATTAATCTAGACTAAAGTTTTGTCGATTTTAAAAGTATTTAATAACTTTTAAACTAATACACGAAATAACCAATGTTCCGATGCCTAGATTTGAAATGTCAGTCCCATGGACCCTTTCAATAATAATTTGAAAATGTCAAAGTGCCACACTCCTTATAGGATAATGCCTATCTATCTTATTAAATTAAAATGACTTTTTTTCACAATATAAAATACCCTTGGCTCCTATTTAAATCATCATAACCCCAAAACCATAATTAATACTTTGCATATGGCGTATCTAGTATTACAGGACTAACAGGGTTTCGATTCCCCGGTTGTACATGACAGGGTGTAGACATTAGATATGAAGTGGTTTTATATTTTTTTTAGGTTTTTTTTTTGGGGGGGGGGGGTCTATTAATTATTTGAAAATAGCATAATTTATACTTGAATCATATGGTAATATATAAAATAGTAACAAAGAGTTTTGTTTACTGGGGTTTTGAGGGTTTTTTTGTTCTTGGGGTTTTAATTTGGGGCGTCATCTAATTGCTTATATTTCCCATGCAATGAAAAGAAATTGAATGAAAATTATTTTTGTGAATGATAGTATGTTTAAATTATATAACCCGGGCCATTGGTAATATTATCATTATTCCAAATATATCTATATGTCGCAATAGATCTCACAACGTAGTTCTAATTAATGTTTGTTAATGTTGTGATTTTAAGTTAGGAGAGGGTGACGGCTGTTCTAAGTTACAATCGAGTTTAGTTTAAATTGTCCTTAAAATAGTTTTGTGAAACGCCACTATTGTAAGTTAAGATACAATTTTAACTTACAATATTATTTCAGTGGATTTTACCTAAAATCATTTTGTGAAATGCGTCTATCTTAAGTTAGGATGGAATTTTAGTTTAAGACGATTTTAAGGAGATTTAAGTTTTTGTGAAACAGTTCCCAGATTGTATGTAATAACAAAGGATCTTTATATTGGGAACTATTTATTGACAGAAACCCAGATGAAAACAGTAGTAATAGTTAAACAAACCCACCAACAACTTATTGAAGTGTGGCTTAAGAGGTGGACACACTAGCCGAATGATTCGGCGGAATCAATCGGCGTGGAAATTCGCCTAGTGTTTGATATATTTTTGATATATCCAACCAATTTTTTATTCGACTGAATTATATTCGCCTGGTGTGTCCACTTCGCCGAAGCATTCGGATGAATGTAGAATTCATTAGCCAATCACCACTCTTATCAAGAAAAGATGTGATTGTTCAAAGACATAGACGCCTCAGGGTTTAATCGTTTAACGTGAAAGGTGATGCAATCGACTGGTGAATCAGGCGAAGCATTCGGCTAGTCTGTCCACCTAATCGGCCAAATAAAATTCAGCGCAGATTGATTCGGCTAATGTGTCCACTGCTTTTTAAGTCTTCAAGTTCAGGGACAATAACTTTGTGATAGGGTGAATCGGTACAATCCCAACAAGTTTAAAAAAAGGGTCGCTTTCATGTTTTCAAGATCTTGGACAATAACTTTGTGACAGATCTCTGTGCAACTATCAATTTCATACGAGATGAGCAATCTCAACAAATATGAGTGTTTACAAGAAATGTGAATAGACAGACAGACAGATGGACTGACAGACAGGGATGATGACAATATATGACCACATCCGAAAGAAATTCCAATACATTAAAATTTATGAATTTTAAATGAGACATACAGTCAATACCAGAACTTTGAACAAAGTTCAAACATAACACTGCTTTGTAATGCAAATGTACAGTACCTATTAGAGAATTTGTTTTATGGTTAATGATGATCCAGTACATAACAGTCTATTTTAAAATTCATAGTTTATCATAAAACAATAGGGTAGATTAGAAAGAGTGTTATTAAGGGGGTGGACAGTAGAAAATTTCAGTTTTTTTAATAATTGAGGTAAAGTCACCATTCTTACACATCTAAGAACACATCCATTGAATATTACAAAAACGGCCGAAAAATTTTCCTGGGGGTACCTGTTGCTATGGAAACGGCGGCCATCTTGGATTTCTGCGTATAATTTTAGTCATCCAGTTTCTCAGAAACTATTCAACAGAATGTTTTAAAATTAAGCAGAGAGGTTACTGACATGTTCCTTTGTGCAATAGGCAAGTTTCATTACAAAATAATAATTAGAAAGCAAGTTATACACATTTGAATGTTAACTTCAAAATTCTTTCACGTGTCACAGTTGCTATGGCAACAATATATCAGGAACTATTTTACAGATTTCAATAAAATTCTCCTATTGCACAAAGTTATTATATAGGAAGTTATATTCCAAGTTTCAAGAAAATCTGACGATAACTGTCAGAGATATAGCATGACTAAAATTGGTAACTCTAGAAAAAAACTGTTTTGAGAAATCAACAACTGAAGTTGAAGTATTTCAGTAGAACAACTTACGCCGATCTGTTCAATTCATTTATTTAATATTAAAAAACTGACTCTTAATATATATATTTTCTAATGTATTTCTTATCAATATACAGTATTTTTTTATTTTATTTCTTGTGTGTAAATTTACAACCGAACATTGGCATAGGAATAGATGTTATTCAAAACAACCATAACTATAACAATCACTGACAGCAGGCCTAGCTGGTAATGGTATTGCAACCATACCACTACTAGGTCTAGCAGACGAATATTCATCTTCATTGGGTTTATTATGAGTGTCTGCCATACTTATTTAGTCATCTAAACAATTTCAAACGCATTTTATTTGAAAATCTTCAAAAATATTGATAAACAGTGACGTACGGTTCAGCAATAGCAACCAGGATTGATTTGGGACATGAGCTTAGTGCGCATGCCTATTGACCTGACCTAGAGGATTGCCCGCTTCTGATTGGACACTTCACCATTGACCTATGTGACCGACCAATCAAATAACGTAATCTCGAAATAACCTCATTAGGTATGCAAAACTTGTTCTTGCTTGCTATTTTTATCTCAATGCAGAAGAAAGGTTTCAAGACACCCCCAAAAAACGTCATTTCCTTTCAATAGGGGAAATCCCAAGCTTTCTAACAGTATCCAACATGGCGACAGTTTACCGGTCGGAAGCCAAGTATTTCACGTATGAAATGCCTATTGTTTTTAGATTTATATCAATAGTTTTAGCGGAATTAGGGCAAAATAAAAAAGGGTGGGATCATTCAGAACCAAATTTTGTAGAAATAAAGAAGAATTTTGTGAAAAAAATGACTGGTATGTGTTCCTAGATAGTGTTACTCGCAGATAATCATAAAACCTCAAAAACGATTTTATTGTTAAAATTCACCAAATGAAGTGCGAACGACGGCCTTAAGTATGGTAGGAGAGAGAGAGAAATGGGGTTTAACGTCCACTCAACAGAATCTAACAATGGTTCAATTTTATTTCAATAATTCGCTTGCGCGTAGGGGTCTTTAGCAGTGGGAGGAAACCAGAGGACCTGGAGATAACCCACGAGGCTGGTCAGGCGAAAGTAAGCTAGGTATAGATAAAGATACAACATAGTTTATATGGAAAAACAATCACTGGTTTATAGGCATAGCGCAACGTTTCGACAAGAAACGTTGTGCTATGCCTATAAACCAGTGATTGTATTTCCATATAAAATGTGTTGTGTTTTTAATACAGTAGAATCTGTATGAGCAGCCACTCCTATTCAGCGACATCTTCTTGTAAGCGGCCACGATAAATTCCCCCCGTAGAAATTCTGTTGTTTCATCTCTTTATTCAACGGTCACTCCTCTAAAGCGGCCACTATTTTACTAATAAATTCAACAAAACATCGCCCATTCAACGGCCATTATACCATCTTGTCGTTCTTTGTAACAACCCCGCTAATCCCGTGAGTAGTAGTTAATTAACTGGACCCCCACTGATCAGGTAAAAAGAAATGTAA